CCCCGCAAGCGAACCCAGGCTACCCAGGAGCTTGGGTTCGCGAGGAACCCAGGAGCCTGGGTTCCTCGCGCCCATAATCTTTCTCTACTGATTCTTTTCCTTCTTGTGTTCTGATTTTGTTAGAACTGGGTTCCTCGCGCCCCTTTTTGAGCTGGGTTTCTCGCGAACTCGCGAGCTGGGTTCGTCACAGGCTACCCAAGAGCCTGGGTTCCTCGCGAACTCGCAAGCTGGGTTCCTCACGGCTACCCAGGAGCCTGGGTTCGCGAGGAACCCAGCTCGCGAGTTTACGATGAACCCAGGCGAATCCACGACTCCACCAGAGGATTGCAACAACCTACCGTGCCTGACCGCGTCACGCGCTCTGAGTTGGCTCAGGTCGAGTTGGTGACTGAGCGGAATCGCTCTCTTAAGCTCAAAGGTCGTCTGAAACTCACCCAAAACCACCGCCACCGACAAAATCAAGGCGGCTAACAAGATTCCGACGCGAAAAGCAACCTTCATTCGACTCATTCGTCCCTTCCAAAAAAATCACTTTACAAAGAAACGAACTTTTTCACCCAAAACAACAACCAAAAAAATAACCATAAAATGAATTGGGTTCCTCATGTACAGCTTTGGTGTGGTGCTGCTAGAACTTGTTAGTGGGAGAAAACCAGTAGGAGAATTTGGTGATGGCGTAGACATTGTTCAATGGGTTCGGAAAATGACAGATTCAAAGAAGGAAGGAGTTCTCAAAATCCTTGACCCCAGGCTCCCTTCAGTTCCTCTCAATGAGGTGATGCATGTATTCTACGTCGCGATGCTCTGTGTGGAAGAACAGGCCGTAGAGCGCCTAACAATGCGAGAAGTTGTTCAAATCCTAACAGAGATCCCAAAACCACACACCTTAAAACAGGGAGACCCCACAATCACAGAATCGTCACCATCATCAAGCACCACCACAATAGACTCTCCCAGTCCTAACTCCTCCAAGGACCCAAAAGACCAGTTCTAACAATATCGGAACATAAGAAGGAAAAGAATCAATAGAGAAAAATTATGGTCGCGAGGAACCCAGGCTCCTGGGTTCCTTGCGAACCCAAGCTCCTGGGTAGCCTGGGTTCACCTGCGGGGTAAGAGGAAAAAAAAGAAAAAAAAATGAAAAAAAAAGGCCGGAGGAAGTGGAGTCCACGTGGAGGGTGACGTGGAGTCTACATGGAGGATGATGTGGAGTCCACGTAAGCATCTTTGACATGTTGGCATATCCACATCAGCTATTTCAGTTAAGTTAACGTGCCACGAGAGCAAAAATTAACGGAAGGACCAAAAATGGGTCGGATTTGTTAACAGTAAGGACTAAAAAAGGGATTTTTTCGGTACATGGACCAAAAAAGAGCTTTTTCCTATAGTAGAGGGACCAAAAAAGGTATTTAACTTTTTTACTTTTCGCTCAACTTTATCTCTCTCCCTCTCTTCAGTCAGACACAGCTGTCATTTTCTACTTGTTAAAATATCAAGGATTTCCGAGAAGAAGAAGATGGAATGAAAAACTGAATCTCTCATTAAACTGAAAATAATCTAGCCTTTAAATAGGTTTTATAAGATAATATTATCTAAAAAGATAACTAACCAATCTTATCTAATCTAATTTAAATGATAACAACCTAAAACAAATAAATAACTTAAACTTCCTAAAATATAGAGATAATGGCTAAATAATAGGATCTAATTTCCAACAATCCCTCCCTTAAACTAAAAGTCTTCAGACTTTAGTTTAAAGAAATCTGGATAACACCATATCTGCAGATCTGGAATCTGTAGACCCTCCCTCAAACTGAATTCTGCATGTTGCAAACACCAAGTAACTCTCTTAGTTTTGAAAAAGCTGCTACTTTGAGGGGTTTTGTGAATATATCAGCCACTTGATCTTCTATTCTGCAATAAATCAACTCAATTGTTCCATCTTTTACCAAGTTACGCAAGAAATGATACCTCACATGTATATGCTTGCTTCTCCCATGCAAAACTGGATTTTTAGAAAGTTTGATGGCTGAACTGTTATCACAATAAATTGAAGTGGCCTCATGTTGATTCAGCTCAAGTTCTTCCATAATTCTTCTCAACCAAATAGCTTGACAAGCACAAGAAGTTGCTGCCACATATTCCGCTTCTGTTGTGGACAAAGTCACAATGGGCTGCTTCTTTGAAGACCATGAAATTGCACCAGATCCCAACATAAAAACAAACCCAGAAGTGCTTTTTTTGTCATCCAGATCTCCAGCATAATCACTGTCTGTAAAGCCTGCGAGATCTGTCTGTAAAGCCTGCGAGATCTGTCTGGTCACCCTTCTTGTAGAATAATCCAAAATCTGCAGTTCCACATAAATACCTAAGAATTCTTTTAGCAGTCTGCAAGTGCAACTCCTTTGGATGCTCCATATATCTGCTAATCAGACTTACACCATGCATTATATCTGGTCTTGTGAAGCTACCCAAACATTTGGCGCCGTTTGTGAGAACCCTAAACAAAAGGTGGTGTAGCTCAACTAGCTAAAGTAAAAGATGTTACGTACCTTTACAGGGAACTGCCTCCCAAGAGGCGACATGGACGACTAGGATAATACTCAGCTTTTGGAAAGTGACCTAAATGACTTCCGGCCAATGTTGAGAAACCTTTTTGTTGGAAGAGAAGAACAAGAACAATCAAATAGCTCGGATGATGAATGAACACCTACTGGGTATGCAACCCAACTTTAAGAACAGTTTCACATTCCAGCGGAAACAAGGCAAAGGCATTCTAGGCAAAATACTTCACGACTTGAGAGACCCATGGAATCTGCTCGGACGACCGAGCTAGAAGAAAGAACCAGAGTTCTATAAATGGCTATAGGAAGAATTCTCTCTTGTTTGATCCCTGATGACCCCCTAATTCCTCTACTGAATAGGGGTGAGCAGCCGGCAACAGTAGTTGCAACCCACAACTACTTGACCTTGATCAATGTGGTGGTTCCAACCAAGCCAAGGGGAAGTGGAATATTAAATCTATAGCCCAGCTCATCCAAGCATAATGATGAATTAATGAAGAAGAATGCAAAACTCAAAAAGCAACTTAAAGATATATAGAGGTCTGTTGATGAGCTAAAGAATCTAAGGTCACGTAAGCAAGCCTTGGATTTAGACAACGCTCTTCTCAACCAGTCCAGTCCATTACAATAGAACCATATTAGGAGGGATTCAAGATTCCTCATTTAGAAACATATGATGGTTCTAGCGACCCGGACGAACACTTGCATACCTATCAAGCCATCATGAAAATTCAGAATGCTACTAATGCAATGATGTGTAAAGTGTTCCCTGCAACATTGAAATCCATTGCTAGAAGATGGTACCACAAGCTCCCCAGACACTCTATAGCTTTGTACTCCCAACTCACTACTTTGTTCTCTAACAAATTTACAAGCCAGAGGGAGATAAAACGAACTGCTACTAAGTTGATGCAGGTACACCAGAGGGAAGGAGAGTCCTTGAGGGACTATATGCAACAGTTTAACAAGGCCACTTTAGACATTGACATTGTCCTGATACCATCTGTTTGTCTGCCTTATTGCATGGCCTCAAGCCTGGCCGGTTTCTTGACGACCTGTTGGAAAATCCGCCTAAGTCATGGAATGAGGTGAATGGCAAATTAGCGAGCTTCATTTTGTCAGAAGACTTTCAGTTGTCCAAGCGATGAGCTGACGATAAGCAAAGTAAAGAGCACAAACAACCAAAAGGAAGAGATGAAAAAAAAAAAGCAAAAAATTATCAAGCAGAGAGGAAAGCCACCTTCCTTCCCAAAATATGCTAACTACATTCCTCTGAACTCGTTAAGGTCTTAAATCCTGGCACAGATCCACCACTAGGTCAAAAGACCACCTCCTCTGCTACATGATTCCCTACGAGTAGACAAAAGCAAATATTGTGACTATCATCGTGGGTATGTCCACAATACAGATAACTGTCAAAAAATTGACTCTCATAAAGTAAGAAATTAAAATTTTTATATTATAAAATGAGATACTAATACTCTTATAATCAATGAGGTGAAATGTTTGGTAAGGATTTTTGCCGAGAAACTTTTATATTTAAATTTTCTAAAACTGTTTCCTTTATATGGTTATAAGCGAGGAGATGAGGATAAGGCCGGTATGAGCCATATCATGCAGCAAACAAAATTGAATTCTGCGAGAGAGAATCTAGAGTTGTGAATTGTGAGCGTGGAAGTGAGAGGGCCGCACCAGCGCTAGTCATATTATAGACAAGGGTGCTTTATTTCAAGGAAATGAAATGTGGATACATTAATTTAGCGTGCATTTCATTTCATTTGGCAGCTTACTACAAAGTTGTCAATTTGGTACTGGTATGGGCATCAATTTTCTTACTGTTACAGTACATATAGTATTTTCGAAAAAATATTGTTTGAAATTTACTGTTATAAAATATAT